ATTACAGTGACAGCACCAAACACAGAGGTGACAGTGGGAGGGGTAGAGCAGTGTAGAGTAGGTGAAGTAAGTGCACAAGGTAGCGGTTTTGGAAATGGTATGCTTAACTGCCTTCGCAATATGTGGAAAGGAAGCGAGCCAATGATGCGATGAGTACCATCGCATCGACGTGTCGTCAATTGCGGTGGTATGTCAGGGAGTTGGTAGAAATGTAAATGTGTTGGTTTGAGGGGATGCAGCAAAACCTATTTGGATGAAGTTGTTGGGGTGTCGACTGTGCGATTGTGGGTGGAAGTGTTGGTGGACAGCGAGAGTTGAATGTGCGGATGAATTGGACTTCGCGCTCAGTTAGTGAGGCGACATGTGATGCTGAGGTGGAGTGTGTTGGAGGAGTTATGTGGTGGTGTGCAACATGTAGCGTGGATTGGGTGGAGTCGTGTTGACAGTTAAGTGAATTGATGTGTGCTGTTGTTGTTGTTGTTGTTAGGTGATTGGGATTATTAGTGAGGCAAACTTCCTCTAGCTGAAGAAGGAGGATAAGGGGAGAGAGAGGAGGAGGTAGAGAAGATGGAAGCTATCTAGTGGTGTAGTGATGGGGATCTAATTTGCTGCTTCGTGTTAAGTACTAATCCAAATGTGGGGCGACTCGTGTGTCGATTAGCTTTCCGTTAAAATGATGATTTGGATAACTTTCTTTTGCGAAGACCATTCTCAAGTCAGCTTGCAACGGCAGCAACTCCAGCGTGGTTCGTTACTTTGTCTGTCAATTTTTGGTTGTGCGAATGTGTGCGATCAACAGAACCCATATTTCTCATTCCAACTATTGGCGTCCTCCTTCTACTGATTACTTGTAAGTAGCATTTGTCAGCAATCGTCATTTATGCTAATATTACAAATGAGGGCGTATTTGTGCCAGTATGTATGCAGATGCTTTGCTAAAGCATTGAGATGATCGACATGATGCAGCATTTCCACATGCAGAGGGAGAGCACACAGAGTGCAATTTCTCAACCACCTCTTCCTCGTCCTCCTCCTCCTCCTCCTCCTCCTCCTCCTCGTCCTCCTCCAGGCAACCGATTGTGCTTCTGCTCTGACGCCGACCGAACTACGCAGCAGCTGCCCACCTACCATCGCCAACATCTTCTCTACTCCAGTCAGTTTTGAAGCATTACTGGACGACAGATCCACGAAGCAAATACGCCATGGGAGAAGATTAGTAGAGGCAACATCTCCGTGTCTTGCTGACACACATTAGGCTTCGATGCAAACTATTTTCACTCCACCTCCTCCAGCTCCATCACTTGGATTTTCTTCGTCTGATGAAAGGGGCACAGAGAGGAAGCGAAATGCAGTAACTAGACTCGTTAGTTGAGAAAAGCAATGCAACAATTGCAATGACTTCGAACGTTCTTGCTATAAGTCAAGTTGAATTTGTTGCTTTTATTGTCTTCGACGTCCTTCTCCCACTTCGGTTCGTCCTCATCATTTGTCTTTGTTTGCTTACGACATTCGGGAGGGCAAATATCACAGTGTTTAGCGCTTGCTAACACTTCTCGCCACGACTAGAGGCTTGAATCGAGGGACAATAAAACTGCATTAAACAAACCTAACAACTACTGTCGCCTCAACATCAACACAATGTCTCGCATCGCCTACCACGTATTGAAAATGTGCACTTGTTACAATGCTTGACCTGCCACTTAATTGCTTTTATGGGGGAGGAGGGCAGAAACACAATCCCAATGTCGTGATGACAAATCTCTCTTTTACTCCTGTGACCAACTCTGCATTCAGCTGCGTCTAAAATGCAAACCATGAAGTTGGATGTTAGAGGAACGGCTCAATTTGCCCACACATCCGCACGAGGTCATACACAAAGTGCACTGAAGGAGGAACGCGGCGATGGGAGGGCGCATCCCTACCAGCATCAGCGATGGACGTATCTAAAAGGAGCAAAGTATGCACAGATTAAAGTGTGTGTTGGTAGCACAAATGATGGTGGTGATGACGTGAGGAGAGTAAGTGGAAGGAGGGGATGGATGGATGGAGGTGCTCACCTTCACTTTCACCGACGGCGGTGCGATAGGAGTGTGAAACGAGGCAGAAGAGGTGGGGTGGGGGATGGGCTGGAGTGTGGAGTGCGAAAGGCATGTCAGGCACTCAGTCTGGCAAAAAGGTAGACACGTTAGGTGGTTGAGAAATTGCACTCTGTGTGCTCTCCCTCTGCGTGTGGAAATGCTGCATCATGTCGATCATCTCAATGCTTTAGCAAAGCATCTGCATACATACTGGCACATATACGGCCTCATTTGCAATATTAGCATAAATCACTATTGCTGACAAATGCTACTTACAAGTAATCAGTAGAAGGAGAAGGCCAATAATTGAAATGAGGAATATGGGTTCTGTTGATCGCACACATTCGCACAACCAAAAATTGACAGACAAAGTAACGAACCACGCTGGAGTTGCTGTCGTGGCAAACTGACTTGGCAATGGTCTTCGCCAATGTCGATTATCCAAGTCATCACTTTAACGGAAAGCTAGTCGACACACGTGGCAGCAAAGTCAAACCAAATGTGTTCCATTATATCGTATTTCACACCTGCCACTGCTCATCTTGGTCACTCCGAGCACCCTTCCATTAGAGTGACAGCACCAAACACAGAGGCGACAGTGGGAGGGCTAGAGCGTAGAGCAGTGTAGAGTAGGTGAAGTAAATGCAAAACCTGATGACGATGACATGGGGGAAAGGAAAGTGGATGGGAAGCGGTTTTGGAAATGGCACGCCTTACCGCCTTCGCTATAGGCGGAAAGAGAGCGAGCCAATGATGCGATGAGTGCCATCGTCTCGACGTGTCGCCTGCATAGCCTTAACACCACCACAACCGAATAATATGCGATGCAGGTCATAAGGAAGCAGACGCGTCAGGGTAGGCAATGCCAACA